ACGAGATTGTTTTATAGAGATTGTTTTATAGTATGAATGGACAATCAGCCGTTGTTTTTTTGTATCTGGGTGAATTTCAACCAACCAAATATCGGGATAAGATGCTCTCGTGGATGGAAATGGCTTGGGTGATAGGAATGATCATTTTAGCAGGTTACTTTCAATTAAAATATTATTTTTATTATTTTGATACAAATATAAATTTTATATTTCTACTTTTAAAAATATCAAAATTGTCAAACCTCCTTTATATTTTTATGTAATTTAAATTTTTCAAACATGCTGTTTTTTCCCCTAGAATTTCCTTTTATAAATGTTTCTTTTTTTTACTCGTTGAAACGTGATATATATTGTTTACAAATTTAATGTGAATCGTTTGAATATTTCAGGTGTCGGTTGGATTATTATTCCACTGAACGTGAACTTCATGACGGCCGGTTTCTTTTTCCACTCCTGGAATCTTTTTGTTTTCATATGTTCCCTCCCAGCCTTGTTAACTGGAACCTGGTTGCTATTTTTCCCTGAAACACCTAAGTATCTCGCAGAAACCGGGCACAACGTTCAAATGTTGAATGTTTTAATGAGAATGTACTCAGAAAACAGTGGAGAACCTCCCAAAGAATATATAGTGAGTATCACATTCATTTTTCAACGACTATTATTTAATATAATAGTAAAATTGATTAGAAGATATACTATACATTGTTATAGATCAGTTCCATATTTTTGTAACATTCAGAAGTTAGGAAACAAAAGAAAAACATTTTCCAAATAGAAATCTGTGCTTCAAAATTTTCATTTGTAATATTGCATAAATCAGACTACATGGTATTTCTTCTGTTTCTTAATTGTTCATTCAACTTTATCACAAAGAGATTCGTTTTATATAATTATATTTTATTTTAATTTAATTAAAGTAAAATTTCTAAATAAATAAATTAAAATTCCCGATCTCTTTTCAGACCAAGCTCCGAAATTGCGAGAATAATAATTTAAACGATTTGGTGCATCGCATACTGCATACTAAAGAGAGAGAAGATGTAAGCGAGAAGTCGTTCGAGCTAATGATAAAAGACATATACACGAAGACCATGATGATACTAAAGCCGCCGTTCCTTTGTAGAACGATCGTTGTGTGTTTGATCGCTTGTTTCGTCACTTCCTCTTATTACACGCTGACTTTATGGCTGCCAGAACTCTTTCATAGATACGCAGACTTTCAGGAGGCGTTTCCCAATCAGACGGCAAGCGTTTGCACTTTGAAGAGCGCGAAAAATGTTACAGATATAGTAAGTGTTCGGATGATGAATGTAAATGCAATTTTTAAATGAAGTTTGATTGATTTTCTAATAAAAATTCATTGGTATACTCCGTATATCATAAAAATCATATAAAAGGTATATTGGTATAATTGCAAAGAAGGAAGAAGTATAAGATAGATAGGAGAAAAGAATAATTTTTATACAAAGTTTAGTAGATGCTCATTCATTTATTAGTCATTAGATTGTTATTCATGTAGTATTATTCTGCAATTGTAATTATTCTATGTTTAGGAATTAGAAAGGAGCACTGGGATGATCGCCAAGAAAGAATTGTAGAATAGGTAGAAAGTAAAAGTTTATACACAAAATTTAAAAGTTTGTCATTCATTACAATCAAATTTTGTTTATAATAAGCCTCACAATTTCAATTTAATTTTAAGATGAGGGAGATTAATTAAGTAGGTTTTGAATTATACAAGTAATTAAAGTTAGGAAGATTAGTGAATAATAAAATAATATTATTAGGTACAAAATTTAATATTATACAAATATAAATATAAATACAAAATTCTAATGATTTAATAAGAATAAAATTTTTGCAGGATATGTCGGATGATCCGTTTGGTTGCAACTCCAGAGTACAAACTAGCGTGTTCGTGCATACGTTTATTTTGGGTGCCTCGTGTATTCCAACAGGTCTGATATTGCCATTACTCGTAAACTACGTGGGGTATAAATTTTTCCTCGGTAAGTAAATAAATATCTCTTTATTCTACTTTTAGATTGATCCTTAAATATATTTTTTAAATTTCAATTTAATCCTCAGTTGAGTTCTTTCAAAAGTTTGTTTTAGACAAAGAAATTAGAACAGTTAAGTATCGAAAAATTTTATCTGGTGTTTCAGTGATAACAGCCTTTATTCCCGCTATTGTGACGGCTTGTCTCTTCCTGGTGGAAACATCCATCCAAAACTTGATACTTTCATGCGCGTATGAATCCGTCACATCCGTTTGTTTGAGCGTGGTATACTGCCTTTTGGTGGACCTCTATCCAACACATTTAAGGTAATTTATCTAAGCATGATTTTTAATTTCCTTTATAATTACCGAAAAAACTAATTTCTTTTATTCTATTCTACCGCAGGAAAAAGTAAAAGCTTTATTATTCCTCTCTGTATAATATAATTTGTTTGTTAATATCGCATTACTAATGTCGAATTAAGTTAAATATAACAACGAAATGATTCTTAAAAAATTTCCGTCGATACTTTTCAATAAAGTGTATCTCAATTTAGCATTCTAGGAATGCTAAAATTCCCTACAAAATAGTAAAAGGTTATACCCAAGGATTTGTTTCAATCTTAGATTAGATACATATCGACCTCTAGCTCTGACAATTTTTTAAATTATTAAAAAATTCCATAAACCATGCCCCCAAGAGTTTCATTCAATTTCAAATTAATCAATAAGTAGTGAACTAGTGAACTAGTGAAAATTTCTAAGAGTCTCAGAAATCGTACCTGACTTCAATCACGCATGCATATAAACCTGACAAAAACAAGCAAACAGCGTGCAATAAAATATAAGATTTCGTTGATATAATCCATAAAAATAGTATCCGCCAGCTGCTCTCTCGGGGAATTAAATTGCCCTGGAGTGGTTGCCGATAAAAATCACTCGAGTAAGTGATGCTCCAAAATTTATTTCGATTGGCGTGACGCCTCCTGGTGTGCGCTTATTTTCGATTAGTATGCACTCTTGAGATAAAAGTAAATTTTGCGTGATCTCTTAGCGCCTTCGGTCTTCTCCCACCTTTCCTCCACCGTCGCTGTTCCCTTCAAGAAATTCGCAACATTCTTGTTTTTGTCTTTCACTGATACGAATGAAAGCTTATCGTGTCTTTATCGATCGTTATAAATATCCGTGTACGATATAACGCTTATTTTCTCACCGTTCTCTGGTTTATTTATAAAAAAACGATTAACTTCACCACTGTCGAATATTACAGGCATCTATCGATCTCGAAACATTATCTCGAGTGTTCTTGCTTTCGATACCTAAGATAAAATATTTATCTCTGTATATAATTATCATTATCGTTAATATTAGTAGTAGTATCGTCCTAACTGTATTAGCGACACAAAATTCAATGATTGCGAAAAAAATGGCGTTTTTTGCGGAATTTCCAAGATTCGTCAGTCCACATTTCTATTGATAAGGTAGAGTTTAACTATAGGTAAAAATCATCGAGGTTAATTGGAATTAAACGTTGCTGTCGTAACGAAGAGCCATGTCGAAATATCTTACTGGAATCTATGATCTAAGCAGAAATTTTAATTAGGGAAATGATTTGTCACTTTCTTCCTTCTTTCTTTTACATCCTTACTTGTGAATGGATGAAAACCTATTAAATTAATTATGGATAAAAAAATAATTGTAATTAGGAGTCAATAAGGCTTGATTGAAGTTTGGTACCTTGTTTTAATTTTGAAGTGCTATTCTGTTTCAGGGCAATGGCGTCCGGCCTGTCTGCATTCATCAGTCGAATAGGTGCTATTAGTGGTACTCTAATGATCGGATACTTGATAGACGATTACTGTACATTGGTAATCGTCATTGTGGCTGCTCAATTGTTTCGTACGTATTCAAATTTTGGTCTTACAATATTTTTAATTTGGTGTAGAGTTATCTTCATATAGATGGCTCGTATCGTATCAACTATTTGATTTATCGTGTTGAAACAGCGATAGTGTCATAATAGTACTCGTTACACTTGTTATTAGACAATAACTTAGGCTATCAAAATTAATTCTGTTTTCTATGTTACCGCGTGTATGTGTTTGTGTTTATAAATGTATCTGTATGAGTCCTGAATAGTCGTAAATATGTTTATAAGACTTTTTAATTTATTTGTCACGAGCTCTTACGTAGTCCTTATAAGGTGACTCAGCTGTCGAATATTTATGAGTATACGTGATATTTGTCTTTTATATTCCAGTGAGTGGTTTGCTTGCCCTGTTCACGCCTGGAAGAAAGAAATCAAAAGCAGATATCGAGAAATCTTAACGATAGTACGGATTAAAGTAAGAAATAAGAAAAAAGGATTAAAAAAGTTTCTACAATTATAAAAAAAATTTCGATATCTTCTTCTTCATCTAAATGCATTTCACTTGGAAACAAGAAATATATAAGTAATCGTATCGATAAAAGTAAAAATATAATTAAACTTGAAGTAATTAGAAGATGTCTTAGTTAACGCTATAAAGACACAGTGTCAAAATAACCAATTACAAAAATTTGATAAAAATTATTTGTTATATTTGAAGCATTGGGAATGTTTCCTACATATGAAACATTAGAAGATCATCAAACTGATTTTTAGATTAACTTTTACAATATAAAAGAAAATATACTTAAAAAATCAAACAAAAGTTTTGGTACTTCTAGTGCTAAATAATTTTATTTTCTGTTAAGTTTGTAAACTATTATATACGTATAGAGTTGAGAATGTATGAGGATTCTAGAAATAACTGAAATTCCATTCACGACATTTTTATTTTATGCAAATGGTCAATGACGTCTTAATCTCTTAACTAGAAAAAACAAGTTAATAATTTATTTTCTCTACAATATTCAACCTTTTGAACGGTAATAAGGATTAAAACCAATCAGTCCTTTATTGACTTTAGACTTTTTGCTGCAAAAAGAATCTTCTTTGACTACTGCACTTGAGAACTTCCCAACAATAGAAGTAGATAGAGGAAGTATCATTAAATCCATTAGGGTTTACTTAAACGTATGACAACGAAGAAACAATACGACATAAAGTGTCTTACGCATTGCACGATACGTATTTGGGTTAATGCAGAACAATTTAACGATTTAAACGTGTACACACAATGTCATTAAATTGCACTGCATTAGTAAAAATGCGTGACGACGAAGTTTCTACGTAAAGTACCTCGCGACACAAATAACGCTTTAATTTACGACCGAGCTATATCGGTTCCACCAACTGTACTTACCTTCACCGTTACATATTTATATCACTGCAATACGATTCAGTGACACCGAATACATATATGTACGACCACCTTCACGTGGAACCTTCGCTGTTGTGTTTACATCAGTATAAAATGATTTGATGAGACCACGTGTATGCTTTTTTTTAAATTATATGTTACATTAATAAGGATAGAATTTTTACATGGAGCTTCCGCCATTATGCATTTTTATAAATACAGATGTATAGTATATATATTGTAGACTGACACAATGATACTGTATCACCGTATGTACCCATTTTCAATCTGGAAAAGTTCTCAAATGTAGTTACCGAGAAAAAATTGTATGGTATTGTTGAAGTTTCTTAAATGTGTGTTTGACCAGTCAATAGAAGATGTTGCACAAATTTTGCTACCAATTAGGTGGCCTCCACTTTATTCCTCATCTCTCTACACATACGAATATGATTCTAATATGCACGATACGATACAACAGTTAAATTTAGATGAAAAATATTAGTCTAAAATTTACAGTATTTCTTTCTGTATATTTAGAATGTTAATTTCTGGCAACGAGTTATTTAGAAACGTCATCTCCTAATTATTAAACATGGTGCCTGTTTACTTTCTGCTTAATGGCGCGGAAACATGTATTTAAGCACGGCTAATATCCGCGTGATGTACATTTTGTTAATACACATCGGAAATATTTAGTAATTTAAGAGAATGCGTGTAATTAATCGAGTGCCTTTTGTAAATTGACGACCTTGTTCTTATGTACTCGTCATCGATGCGAAAATCGTACGTGATAGAGTCACGTGATGCACAGTCTTCGCGAATACTCAGCAAGTTCGAGAGATTAACAGTAATGAAAGTATGTACTTTTCTACGTTTCTAAAGCTTTTAGGACTCTTCATTGAGTATCATATTGAGTATACTTATTAAAAAATCCAGGCTTAAAGAATATGTAAATCTTGTTTAACCATTTTTTTTTTTTTTTCATATTTTGAATATTTCTTCATATTGTACTTTAATCTTCTAATTTATAGAAGAAGAAAAATGGCTATTATTTTCCTTTTTGAGATTAGAATACAAAGGTGTCTCAGGGAGAGTGTGAAACAATTTGAGAGATATTACTATTCTTAGTACGTACAACAATTTTATTGCTGTCACAGTAAGATTACAAGACCAATACAAGGTGGCCTTCAAGAAACATTGAAAGTTTCAGATCTTCTATTAAAAGATGCCTTAAAGATTTTTACACCTGTCCTGAGACAACCTGTAGTATATATACAACGAAGAGAGTTTCAAATAAGTAGATTAATATATTTAGTACTTAATGAAGTTAAAAAGAATCTAGGAAGAAAGTGAATGCTCAATTAAATCATTATCGCGACGATCTCCTGTATTGTTAACACAGTGCTACGATATTTTTTTAACGTTACAATTATACAAAGCTTGAGCTTATCGATCGTCGAACGTGACGATCGTGTTTCCGACGCGATTTATTCTTTTACTTTTCTATATATGAGACTTTTTATATATTGTAGACTGTTTATATGCCAGCCATCGAAGTACAATAAAATATTTGTTCTCAGTGAACCTATCAAACAAAATTACTTTTATTTTTTATATTCCTTAAATCATTCTTTTATCAATTTAAAACTTATTCATATCCTTTAATTAATAATCTTAAAGATATTACAAAACATGATAACTTATTAACCTCTTCTCTCAAAAAAACGTCAAAAATCTCAAAAACAGTCTCCTTTGATAACTCATTTTTCCAACAAATTGCATGTCGAAAACGCCACTGATTGTAGACATGAAATTCCCCACTCCACTACGATCAACACCTCGTGTATCTATATTAACTTGATTCGACGCACGGTATAGCACAATTAGATAGCGGGTAGGCCCCAGACACAAATTGAAACGACATGCAGTGTCTCGTGCATGCGCGGCAATACTGTCGTGTCCTCAATTCAGCCCGATCTAGACGAAGCCAATCGAAAAACCAACTTCTTCCGTTCAAGTGATCGTTCTCCACGCATCATATACATATACGCGATATATAGAAACACATTTGGCTGGCGAATTAAATAGTCCTTCGCCGTGGCTTACATTCTAATTAAGGCGTCGCGTCGACACTTCGAGGAATCGCAAATTATTTCCCTACTTTTATCCCCGCCTTGTTCTAAATTTCAACGATAGAATGAAACGATTCGAGAGAATTACATCATTGAGCGATGATCGTCTTGATTAATCGCGTTTGAAATTTTAGGAATGATCAGATTAAAGAAGCCTATCAGTTGATAGGTGTCCAGAATTGTGGAGGGATCTATCGGTAAGATTGCAGGATTTCTTGAGTTTCTTCCTTATCGATGATTATATTTCCCCTGCATCGTTGTAAAAATTAAATAATTCCATGCTGTTAAATAACCATAAATAGGTAAACGATGTAAGTGCCAGAAACAAACATTATTCAGTGCAAACAACGAACATATGTTTATCTAATTTGTACTTTACTTTGACATAAATTGTAACGATCCAAGAAAGTAAAATAAGTTATTCTAGCACTTATAGCATTTATTACATTCAGCTTAGAATGTCCTGTTTTTATCACTTTTATCGCTTACATCGATTATCGATTAAACTTTAAACTTAGAGCGTTTAAAAACCAGGTTAACCAATTTCATAAATTAAAAAATGAAAAATATCATAAACATTCTCCGGTTTTCATTTATCTTAGAATTTATGTTTATTAACCAACGTTAATTACCTTGTTTTCTCACAATTTTAATCTTCAAGAACATGGTACTTTCATTACTCGAAATATTAGAAATCGATACGATTATAGATAATTGTTTAGAAATCTCATATGACACGTGCACTTTCATGCAGTACAAAATAGCACGTTCCCTTGCAAAACACCCCTGTTGATTGACGCTCTCAGTCAATGAAATCCTCCTCTCTCTCCGTAGATACCGACTGTACAAAAAATCTGCTCTATTTTCGCAGTAATATTTTACGACTTTATATCAGTGCAGCCTATTCGGCATTGTTGACATTGAAACCAACTTTAAGTGGCGCGTTTTGCAGTTGGATCGCGGCCATCTTTCCGGAAGATCCACTCCTTAAATTCCCGTCTCTTCGTGCAAGTATCACATTGATCTCTTTTGTTCTTTTTACATTTTATCTCTCACGATCGAATCTCGTGATAGCGTACATTGACGATATGATAATCGCGACGAAGTTTGTGCTCGCGGTTGCGACGCATCAATGACGGAAATATTGGGATAGCGATCGAATATTTGGCGCGAATCCACAATCGGCGTCGATCGCGTGCCAACATACAGGCGCGCTCGCGCGCGTACGATATGCGAACTTAAGGAAAATTACGGTGTGCTTCGTCGATCCGCGATTTACATGCTTAGTTTCGTTTTATACCCGACGCGACTGTTACTTCTATGCTGGGCCTTCACTGTTGTGACTTCCGTTTAAATATACGAGTTCTTTTAAGCATATGATCGTATATTACGAGAGGGAAAAGTAATTCGTTTTGATAATTATCAGTGTGTCATTTTAACACATTTGTGAATACGTTGACGAGTAAGAGACTCAGTGGATGAGCGGTACAGGTGTACTATCGTGAAAATACAAGGTAAGTAGAAGAAACTATAGGTAGGTTGTTACTTATGTAGAAAATTTTCTTATGACTTTCTAAGTCTTTTAGTGAATGTCGAAATTTATATTACAGTTTAACTTTGTTACTGTTCCTCTGAACTCCTTCAATGTCATAGTCACTTCTACAATAATTAGACTTTTTTGTTGCTTTAACAAGATTTCTGTGGATAGTCTAACACCGTGTGCTGTTATTGTTCATAGTGTCAAAATAGTAGAATGGTAGAGTTCCTGTGTACACAATGATACTTGCAATAAACAAAATTTTTTATAAGAGTTTTAAATTTTTAATTATTAAGACTATTTAATAAAAGTTGGTATACATTGATATAAATATTTTCATGCTTATATTTACAAGTGAAAGGTTTTATGAAACAGTTAAAATAATGACTTACATGTGAGGAAGCTTAATGTTCGATAAGATAGTTTCATCTCGTTTCTTTCTTTTCGAGTGTTTAGTGAAACAAGAATCGTGGAAGTCCTTCAGTACAATGTTTGGATCAGTTTTTCGAAACGACGACGTACACGTGTGTTTGATCAAACAGACATCGAAATCGTCGTCCTGATTACGTAAGACTGAGACTTGGCTATAGTCCGAGTAAAATGGCCACGGTTTTCATTCAGTCGACCGCTGGCCACGGTAATCACAATTAAGTCTGCCGCGTCTAATCCTGTTGTGGATGTCGCTGGATCAGTTTGGGGAAAAATTGGCGTATTGGGATAACGGATGATGAACGATGGCGTAAATCAAGAAAGGTCACTGGTTTGTGGATGTCTGACTTTGATATATCGGTCTATGAACAGAAGAAAATTATGCATTTTAATACCGTTCTTTCTTTTAGTAATTATAGAAAGATGTATGATAATAATGTGCAGAAGACGTTACAATAAAAATTTTTTTCCTTTTTGTTCGGTGTCTCAGATATATTTTTGAATTAGTTACCTTGATATTTACAGGTGGGAAAAGAATCTCGGGATTTAACTTTTTAAGGTAATTAGTGAAGTGGTTAGTATACTGTCCTATTTTTTGAAGATTGATAAACATCTGGAATGGTTTGGAATAACTAGTGAATTAAAATTAAAATTAGTAAGTATGTGGAAAACAAAATAGCAGAATGTTTTTTAGGATTTTAAAGTTTTACAATACCTCGATTTGGAATATTCTATTCCATTATGTGGAAATCGCGGTTGTAATCTGTCGTGAGGAACATTACTATTTTGCAGAAATTTCACACTTTTCAATTTAACGAATCTCATAAATCAAAATTAAACTTGAGGCTAAAATTAAACTTCGATTTGTAATATTCTTATTTCAGTTATAATCTACGTGAGTATGACTCAAACGTAATCCAATATCGTACAACAAGGCATAAAAATAACAAATAAATATTATTCATTATTGCCACTCGACTAATCTTTCAATTGTTTGAGTCACTCCATTTTCGAGCGGAATTTCAGGAAGAATATCAACAACTTGCACTCGACTAATATATTTTCCATAAAATGGTTTTCTTCTAGTATACTCACCAACCACTTGTTTAATGCTGCGATATATACAACTGAAATATTCAAGGTCGATAAGGGACTATTTCTAATTCTAGGATTTCAACTATACGATTTTGTGATAATGATGTGACGATCTTAATCTAGAAAATACAAAAAAGATGTTTAAACAAAAATTTTTTGTTTTAAATGTCTTATGTTTAATAACATACCTTAAATCATTAATATTACAAATTTCATGAGACAATAATATCGCTTTAATCGATTTATGGTTTATAGCCCACAGATTGCGTACACTACTGTTTCTCATAATTTTTGCGATATAATCGACAGTGATTAATGATAAGTCTCGTGATACAGTGCTATTTACTGATTAATTTAATAAAACTAGCTTTTTATTTGAGCTCTTATGTTGTCGATTTACCTGATTTTTCTTTGCATTTCTGATGTAGTTTTGATTTGATGTAGGTAAGTTCATTGTTGAATAGACAATCAATCGGATTTCGATTAGTTTCTATCTTTCTTAAGCGTAAGCTGGATTATATTATAGATTAAGTTAACATAATTTGTGTATAATAAAAATGAGGGCAAAGTACAGTACAAATAAGAATTAATTAAAATTGAATTGAAGTTAATTTGAGTAAAATTCGATTAGGATATATTAAATTGAGTTATGTTGAATCATGTTTAATTACATAGAGTTAGGTTAAATCAAATTGTACCTGAAACTAAATTTTGGGCGTCATGAATACTCATCTCTACTATTTCATTAAATTTTTAATTATGTTTATCCTAAAATTGCAACTAATCCCTGATTATTTATTAATGAACTCAATCTGAGACACTATCGTTAATTTTATCCTATTCTCACTTAATTAACCGAGGTTAATCTCAACATCGAATCTATATTATTTCACAGATAACTCGGTAGGCACTTCTGATAAAACTTCCTAGATTCATCATTCGAATGAAGATCACGAAAGTTTGCGTTATTATTCGATGTATTCACTCGATAAGCCTGTTTACGTCTATGAATCAAAATCGTGGTACCAGATTGCGTCTCTACTAGTTCTGTCTGGTTTAGATAAAACTTAACCTCAAACAACAGTCATGTCTAGGTCAAGTGTAATTAATTACAATACGATATTTCATAAAACTTACCTATCTTTCTTAACAAATACCTTCATACGAATCTGATTCATCACTTCTTACCACGATATTAAAAAAATTCCGCATGAAACAGCATTCCGTAACCAAAGCATGGTAAAATATTAATCAAACTAACACGTGCGATTAACCAAAATGTGTTCGCGGTCTTTTTAGCCGCATCAAATACGATGAAAGAGATTTTTCGATGGTACGGCCATAAATAAGTCTTATAAAAGAAATCGCAGATAATAGCGATCAGTGTTTACGTTTTGGTTAAAACGTCTAATTAAGATCACGGTTCACGAGAGCGCGTCGTTCTGCTTCGGAAATACCGACCGGAAATGGATTGCGATGCCATCTCGTGTCCGTATTTGACACGTAACAAATTTATCGATAATTAAACGAGTAGCCAGCAAAATGTAAACTGGCTTATTTTCTTTCCTCAAGTGATATAAATACATTTCTTTTCGTCACGAGAATATTTAAGAGTATGCATTTCGTGTGCTTAAAAATAAGAATAATAATTAAGATAACAGTAAGCTATTTATTATGATGACCAGGATGAGAAGAGCACGATTTTTTTATTACAGCATAAGTAGCATAAAAATATTGATATCCTCGGTTTCATCTTCACTCAACAGATTAATTTCTATTAACTAACTAATGTATGACCATATTAAAATACCCTTGATTTTAATACTGTTATAAATATAACTATGTATTGTCAGTTCATCTTAACGATTAACAATTAACAAATTATTTAACATTTTTCAAGGAATAAAATTCTCTTACAAAATTTTCTTTTCTTTTCCAGTAGATTAACACTAAAACTACCAAAGCAATCAAAATGACTTGTATATTTTTCTAGATCATTAATTCTTGAGTGAACTAACAATTTATATTACAATGAAGTAATCTAGACTTAACTTACAGATTGCTGAATAACAAAATTCTTTGAAAAAATTCTCCTCTCTTCTCGAATGGATTAAATCACGACTAGACAAAATATCACGGTCAAAGGATCTAGAATAAGCAGAGATAGTCTCAAGCATGATATACAACGCGACAAACACGTTACCTCACGGACCTACCCGAATCCCGTTGCAAACACACTGTTTAGTTATTGCGAACTTCTTGTTTGGACAACGTGCATACAGACCCTGAAAACGTTGCTTAGCTCTTTGCCGTCATAAATAACACATCACGGTTGAAGAATCCTCGTCAGCTTCGTTCCTCGTGTCGAAGTCCCTCGAACCGCGACATGGTGACGTTTTGGCCCAGAAATGGCACTCATCGTATTTTTTTCTGGAATACTCATGCACAATTATTAGTAGGTCGGCAAACAGAGGAAGGAAGGTAACCACCAGCCTCCGTGGCAGATAAAAGTATCGCTGATATCGGAATTCTCGTACATAATAAAACGGCCGCAATGAGTAAACCCGTGTATTTTAATCAAAGTAATCTAAAGCAATTAGAAATCCCGTGATACCTGTTTCAACTGTCTTATCGAGTAGAGTGGCGCGCGATCGTATCGTGACAGGGGCAATTGCAAAACCCTCTTAACTCACACATGCCAGGGTACACGCACGAAGCCTGTGTGTACAGAGTGTAGAAGGGTTTTAACAATTTTCAGAAAAGACTTTTTCCTTTGCGGAAACTCGGAGCTCTCCTGTCGCGAAAGGATTGAAGAAGAGGGAAATACGGTATCGGACAGGTAAAAGAAAGAAAGAGATAGGCAGAGATAGGGAGAGAAGGAGAGAATTGTATCTTATCTGGCGAGGAGGCTAATAACCAGCCACCGAAAAGAGAGGAGATATATGTCGAGGCACGATCGATTTTTTGGTCAGTCGTTTGTTCGCCACGGAGGATCGTACTTGGATCAAAAGAAAAAAGATCGTTTCCAGTGATATTGGTATCGTTTCGTTGCAGAAGCCTCGATTCTCCGAGTTGGATTTGTCGTTGTGGAGTAGGTCATCAAGGATAGGTCAGAGAAGAGATCGGTCGATACGATCAGAGATTTGATCGAAGATACGATCCACGGAAGTCGTAGGAAAAGGGAAGAGGGATATTTCCGTGAAGGGATAGAGAACGAGAATCCCTCGGTGGAAATCATCGTCGCATTCGCACAGGCGATAAAGACGGCGATCAAATACCACCGAGTGTTCACCAATGAGCGTGGCGTACGGTGGTTGCACACGAGGACAAAACCGTGGAACACGCACGAGGAACAGACAGTGCTGCACTTTGGCGATCGGGGTCCTCCAGAGTCCCGGATTCTCTCCAACACCACCTGACCTCATCACCTCCCGTGAGACTGACAACCTGCGCAACGTAATCGTTAACCATGGGTAGGTTTGATGGTCTGTTTGAAGTGTAGGAATCATGATGATGATGATGATGATGATGAAGATAATGATATGACATGATATGAAATGATGATGTGAGAATGAAAATGGTTGATAGTTTGAGGGTTGGATATTTGGCTATGAAAGTAGTTGATGGTGTTGCTATAGATCATTTTTTATATTCTTTTAATTTTTGTCTTGTTAATTATGGTCATGTTAAATAATTTTGTGGACTTTTAGTAAGTGATTGAAGAGAAAGTTTGATGTGTTTTAGCAATTGTTGTATTGATTGGCACTTTGTTTGTAATATAATTATTATTATATATTAATTCTTAATTTTGATTTATGATTATGATAGTTAATTTCATTGGAATTTTTGATATCTATTTATTTATTATTACTTGTTAGTTTTTTAGAATGATTCTTGTGGCTAGCGACATGTTATTTTATCATGGTTATAATCTTCATTGATGGTTTTGATTGGAATTAGTAGATATTACTAGTATTAACATAATGATATTTACAATAGATACTATCTTAGTATCACAGGTAGTGATTAATAGAGATAACACATATTATTGCCGTTTTCCTATTCTTCTTAATAGTACTATTAATATCACTTTTGCTATCACTGTTTTGCTAGTGATACCATCATTACTAATCAATATCGCTATTGCTATTAATATAAGATTACTCAATCAGAAATTCTCATTGTATATATACATACGTATCGAAGGACGATTAAAAATGGATTAATTCGTCCTCATTCCCATAAAATTAAATAACATTCTTGTAGATAAAAATCTGTATCAAATTTTCAGCTTATTATAACCTACAAATTAAAAGTTTCATACTGTCAATTTTCATACTAACAAGTCGCATGTTTTCGTTATCAAAACATTGGCTACCATTATCGACGTACCAAAATCTCTTGTAACCATTATTGAAAACTTTCTGCATGATCCATCGAGACATCGCTTCTTCAAATATCTTATTCAGAATAAAATGTTGTGCTCACTACTACGAACAAAATAAAAAATATTTAAAGAATAAAACTTAAAATACAAAATAATATAAAAGTTCAAAATAAAATTATAATGTTTATATCACTAACGAATGTCATCTTGCCATCTATCAAACATCTTTGTAATTATTATGGAAAAATTTTCGCATGATCTTATCGACTGTCGATTTCTCGAATATCTCGTTCAACGCAACAATTCCATCGCAAACACGTGTCCACGAAACATACTGGAATACTGATACATTATCGCGATGTCTCCCTATAACAATAGAAAATCGATGTTTTGAGACGCTAATAAATCTTTGTTTTTTGACAGGACTCGACTTCTTGGCAGACGGAGGTGCCGATTTCGAGCATGCAATCACCGTAACAGGTAAATCGTTCCCGACTTTTGCTTCTATTTATTGCGAATTAACACAATTCTGAGATAGAATGCCGTTCGATTTGTCGAAAACTGATGAAAAGTTTATCGGAAGAACGAAACGATCCATCTTTATATACAGACTAAATATCATTGTACATCTCGTTTACAATAATAATTCTGTTTATATGATTATTAAGATAATTCGGAAATTTATCTTGATTTAATCAGCTCAAAATAAATCTAATGGAAATTAATTACATATATAGTATTCTAATTTGAATACTTTCGTTTAAACATCTTTACTTACGTATCGACTAATTTTTAGAGAATTCTGGTTTAGGTTATATGAATTTATATGTAAACTGACCGAATATATCATATTTAATTTAATTTCAAATATTGTTACACTAATAATAACACTAGGAAACTGAAACTACCAACGTCAAAGTGACGATTTATATATATTTTATTGTTATCAGAAACATCTAGTTACTTTTGTCTAAACTATAACATTAATTATAATAGAAGTTATCAGAGAGAAAGACTTAAAAAACTTTGAAAATATTTAACGAAGATAGATCTTAAAATCAATGATTTTGTTATAAAATGTTGTGAGAATATCTAATGAGTTTGATTAATATATCCACAATAAACAATGTAACTAAATTATACCGTTGAGTGGAAAATTTATATGTCATGTAATTTGGAACAGCACGAATATTTAGGAATATGTACATATGTAAGTACAATGATTCATAATTTACATTTGCTGTTTTATGGTGCTCAAATAGAAGGTAGACATATTAAACATTTCTCATGAGAATGAAAATTAAATTTCATACTGCACAAAAATTTATCTTCATATTTTTTAATACCAAGTACATCTAGATACATAGGTACTCCCTACATATCCATAAGTATATCTATGGTATATCTACATATGTACACATCAAAGGTTGGTAGACTAGTGTAAAATTCGTTTAGTCACGCTAGCGCCACTGTTTGTACAGGTTGTGCAAGTATTTGAATAATATGGTCATAAAACCCAAATCCGCGTTGTAGTCGAAACATGATATCAAGTTCAAGATCATTGTTTGATTTGTATCGTCACAGTCCTTATCGAATGCATATTAAAACATGCAATTTTTTTCGGAAATTTTGATTCAATCGGAAGATTCACTCGCCGTCAAATCTAACCTCTTAACTCCTGTTAGTCACAACAAACTCTGATTCTTATGACTGGAAGTCTAATGGAAGTAAGTCGACAGTTTCTTAGTTCAATCCTTATCCCTTACCAATTAAAAGATTGGAAATTGAAATTACAAAATTTTTTTTTTGAATTGATTTTTTTTGTTTTTAATTGATTTTATCTTAATTACAAAATAAGTGGAAAAAGATGTCACGTATTTAATGTTACATACTAAATGGCAGTAACGCTAAAAATATCGTTCGCCTAAATTTAGAAAATAATCTAATTATCCGAACCGGATATAATAAAAATTAGCTAATCGTAAAAAATTATAAATTTTTCGAAACACCACACACAAACAATCATCTTATCTCTTCGCGGTGAATATGACTGTTGTGAAAAGAAGAAAAGAAATTTGCAACAGATAATTGTTGACTCTTCGAAGATTTGACAAGGGATCAGAGCATGAATCAAGTGCCAAACAACTTAATTGCAGCGATAAATCCTTTTTCTTGCTTAACCTTTAAAACTTCTTGAAGATCTGTCTAAATATTTAATGGATCATATTTTTCTTATCAGGATTCGGGAAATTTCATTACATGCTACTAGCAATCTGCGGTTTAATTTATATGGACACTGCCATTGGGGTCACGATACTTTCTTTCGTATTGCCGGCAGCACAATGCGATTTAGAAATGGATTCCACTGCAAAAGGTTGGCTAACGGCATCCCCAATGCTGGGTGAGTATTCAATTTTGGCAAATCAATTAAAAATTTGCTTCTTTTCTTTAAATCCAAAATAATAACAATAATAATTTTTCTAATAACAAATATTAATTATTTTGACAGGAAATATTTGAATAGATAATTTATTAGTTCCAATCTGTTTTTTCGTCGAAGAAAAATGTGTCAGCTGAATTGTTACAAATTTTATAAATTTTCTAGTTACAAATCCTAATAGTAAAAATTTGTTAAGTGATCGATTTCGCATTTCTACCTGTAGAAAAACAGTTGACAAATCAAGTTTTTTTAATGATCGTTTAAAAAGTTTTTATTAAAAAATTTTGATATTTATCAAAGTAAGTTATAACGGCTAGTTACAAATAGAATCATGGTAATGATTCATTAGAAAAAGTGTCTTTTCATTTCTGTTATCAGGCGAATAGAGATGTCTGACTCGTGTCGCACTTTTCTACTTAAACCATCATCGCTAAACGCCTCATACGTCGAAAACACGTTGTTTAATGAAGAAAAACATTCGCATGTTGCATGGAAATCACTTTTATCAGCTAATTACCTTATTTCTTAGAATATCTTAGAAAATAATAAACTTTAATACACGTACTAAACATTTTTCTGTAGCCCTTATCTTTTGCCTTTTTTCTTTCACTATATGTCATAATTTCTTATGATACACTGATTCATTTACATAATATACGAATTCATATTTTATTATATATCGATCACTAAAAATTATTTTTTTGTTTATACATACTATTGTTATTAACCCTTATTATTAATCATTATTATTTATTATTATTATTTATTGTTTTTTTATTATTGTTTATTATTATTATTATTCTGTTATTTATAGGGATGGTAGTTGGTTCTTATATATGGGGATGCCTGGCTGATACTAAAGGGAGGAAAGTCGTTTTAATCGCCACTTTATTAATGGACGGTGTCGTGGGCGTCATTTCTTCCTTTGTCCAATATTTTTGGATCTTCCTGGTGTTCCGTTTCTTTAACGGATTCGCGTAAGTATTACTGTTATATATTTTCCTATTCCATTTCTCCGTTTATATATATATGTACATATATATCCTCTATGTACCCTTTGTTTATGTATACATATCCTTTTCAATCTTCCGCCTCAGATCATTTTTATTTTTCTTTTCGTTTTATTTCTATTTTTATTCTTTTATTTTATATATACAGCGTTACGGGAGCTATGGGAATTTGTTTTCCGTATTTAGGGGAGTTTCAGCCGACAAAGTATCGCGAACGATGTCTTTGTTGGATGGAAATGTTCTGGACAGTCGGAGTCATAGTATTACCATGTGAGTTTCATTTTACGATTTAATATCAAATATTTTATAACCTGACTAGAAATCCACCGCCACATGTTACAAAAGAATATTATTTAGTTCGATTAATAATTTGATAGTGGCTGGGGTATAATTCGCTTCACATTGAAACCACTTGAATGTATAGGGAAATTTCCCTACTCTCCTATTAGAATAACAATAAACGATGTGATGAAAATTGAGATAAAATAGAATATCGCAAAAGATTAAATTGATCTATTAAGTGGGCTCACTTTCCCACCTAAAGTGTTAATGGAAAAAATTCTTCTCTCACGATTATACCGCTTGATTAACTATGTTTTCTTTTCATCTATCTAGTAATCGCATGGCTGATCATACCAATGGACTTCATGTACATCTCTGACGCGTTTTATTTTAAGTCATGGAATCTCTTCGTAGCGCTGTGCGCTCTACCTTCGATAATGTTGGGCCTATGGCTCTTCGCATTTCCGGAGAGTCCGAAGTTTCTCCTCGAATGCGGCGAAACGGACGCCGCCCTCGAAGTATTTAAGTGGATTTATTCACAGAACACCGGAGAACCTCCTGACTCATACCCGGTAATTAATTACACAAATAAACTTCTTCTAGTTTAAGTTAGGCGGCTTAACAAATTTAGAGCCTTCATCCGATTCTTCATCTTTTCCATTTTCTTCATGTCTCGTTTACTTGTTTTTTAGGTAAAATCATTACAAGAAAAGACTAAAGACAAGAGCACAAGATCATTGAAGCTACACAAACGAAAGGACCTGAAGGTACTTTTGAAGGAAGTGCGAGACTTGACAACTGCTCTCTGCAAATCACCATACCTTAAAAACACATTACTCGCCTGTGGTATTCAATTCGGTCTGACCAGTAGTTACTACACCCTCATGGTTTGGTTCCCAGAATTATTCACCAGGTACCTAATTTTTCTAATCAATATAACACTTTTTATAATTGGAAGACAGAATATATTTTTAAACTAATAAAATGAACAAAAAAGAATACAAATCTGTTACATATAAAATTTGTTGTAATTCAATAGCATTTCTATGGTAAATTATAACAGTAAGTTATTTCCCATTTAACATACCTGTTTGACTATCTAATAATTAGCTAATGTAAAATTTGATTATTATTGACTAATAGTGAATAATAATTTGAACTAATAATTGTAGGTTCGAGCAATTTGAACACGAAAATCCTGGTAAGACCACATCGGTTTGTATAGTATCGGCTTTGCCAAATAATGGAACGCTGGTTGACGCTTATGGGTGCGACACCGTAATAGCACCTTCTGTCTACCTTCACACGGTTTACATTGGACTCGCTTGTATTCCTGGTTCCATCATACTACCGATTTTTGTTCATAAGCTCGGTGCTAAGTTCTTTTTGAGTACGTATACCATAATTTTAAGTACATGTACCTAACTCTGTGTTTAACTGCATCGCGTGATACTTCGTTCATAAATGCAAAAACATTAATATTTTATTTATTTATATTATTCAATATATAATATAAAACAGCACTTCAAATGGTAACGTCAAATTTCAGTTGTGTCACTATTGGTCTCCGGTGCAGTAACGGTGGCCTTTTATTACGTCGTCAATGCGACGCAAAATTTGATATTATCCTGCGTGTTCGAAGCTTTGACGTCTCTTGGTATCTCACTTGTCTATTGCGTAATCGTCGACATGTTCCCGACGAATCTCAGGCAAGTAAGATGTTCACGTTCCATCTGACTTATTTATTAGGGAAACACGCAGGCACAACCGTCAGAAAGATTTACGACTGCTTCTGCTGCTAATTACTCGACGACAACTGAGGACAAAATAACGATATTATATAGTAAACGACACATTTACATGATTCTTAATCATATGCTCTCATAACTTACCATTTACATCGAATTAGTTGCAACGCATAAAAAGAACTACTAAATAACTACTGAATAACTAATAACAAAGTTTTTACAAGCATAGAAATAAAGATATTGATAAGATGAAAATAATCGATAATTAAAATATATATCACAATTTATAATAAAATCGATCATGTGTTAAAAAAGATTATGTATGAATATTTTATACTAATTTGCATCAAAGTTATTTGTTTTTATTTTATCATATTTTTCTTGGGTGAATGAATAGACAATTATCAAATTTTCAGAGTAATGGCTGCCGCTCTATCTCTCACTATGGGTCGACTAGGTGCGTTGGTCGGTAACTTAGTGTTCGGCTACCTGATTGATTTAGCTTGTGTGGTTCCTATAATTTTATTCGCAGCGTTTTTATTCAGTAAGTATTTGAGAGTTTTACATAAATAATTTAGATACTCAGAATTATTTCTTACAAAATAACTAACTAAAATAAAATAAACGAATTTTCCTTGACGATTTAATGTTTTATAATATATAGTTACTAATGCTGTTAAGTATTATATTGAAGATAAATTTTAAAAGTATCACTTTCGCGTAATAAATGAAATCATTAATAACATTACATTTGAAATTTCATAAAATTACGAAAACGATATTTTTTTATAATGATATTTAATTTTTTATGACTGTTTTTAGTATGCGGATTTATGTCTTTCCTACTACCAAAGACAGGAAAAGAAACTCTCGACTAATTAAAGAATTCGTATCCTGAAGAGAATTAAGCTAGGAAAGTATTTTTGAAAATGGGAGGACAAGCGGCATGTGCTGACAAAAAACGTTCTTTGTTATGAGAAGTTCGAATTATATTTTGACAAACATTAGTACTGATTATCATGATAATAAGTGATCAAAGGAAATACTTAACACTTCGATTTCTACGGATGTTTCGTTTTTTTATAAGATTACAATGGATTTTCAAAGGAAAATTCATACTTATTTTTAACAGTGTGTAAATTCGTGTAAATATGTAATATTTATTTTTCGAACGTTTAACGTTCCATTTAAGATAATTGGATATTATAATCATAAATTAAGTAGGATAGTGTATAAATGCGGTTAATTATATTCAAAATGCGCGCCAGAAGATGTTAATGAGTATTTAAGAAAATAATAACAATATAATGCCAAAAGATGCTGTATAATGTTTATATTTCGTTTGTTCGTTTAAAAATACCTGTATTCCTGAACCGAAACGAATAAATATAGAACATACATGATCAATTTCAAAGTTAATGTTAGTAATATATATCATAAATAATACTCTACTTATACTGCATAGTTTTCCCTATTAATTTATTATGTAATACATTTATATAAAATAATTCTATGAAAAAAAAAGGAAGAAAAAAATTTAACTTAAATTTAAACTCAAACTTTAATCAAAACAAAAATAATATAATATTTTGTTCTTTTAATAAACTATTTATTAGACAACAGTAACTCAGTAATTTTAATTAAGACACCAGAAATAGTTGTTCACATCGGTATCTTAACCTACCCCGTGTTATCGAACGTCTAAGTTCTTAGTTGAAAAAAGATGGAACAATAGCAACATAACGACAAGAAAATACCTAAAGGCGCTATCGTTATAACCAACAAGCAGTTCGTCGGTGGTAGAAATTACGGTATTTGGTTGTGTGTTAAGTACAACGATGAATTGCAAAAGATAGTCGGTATTGACGAAAAAAAATACGCGACGTATGTGTTGCGAATGATCAACGCCGCGTTCCGTCCCATGATATAATCTTCGCTTCAAAGTCGGGGAAAATCTCGTGGCGCTGTTTCAGCAGCTGATCAACTGGCACAATCTCCAGGCAAAATTTTCGTTTCTAGTCAGCTAGGTGATCCGCTATAAACAATGGCCGGATATGTATTGAGAGTCAAAACGAAATCAGGTCAAAGGGTCGTGAATGGATTGCTCCCGCAGGATAAACTTGGCAAATTACGATCAAAGCTTGTTGAGATAACAGGAATACCAGCTGAGGCACTTCACGTTCTTGGTGGTTTTCCACCAAGACCAATTAATCTGAACGATGAATCGAACTCACTTGAAATGTGTGGCATCATTTCGGGTGACACCTTAATTGTAGAAGAAAAACCACCACTTTACAACGGAAATCAAAAACCAGAGGAAATCGGACGATCTCACATTGTTGATGAAAAAGATTTTGCCAATACACCTGGAGTACTGATGAAAAAGGTTGTACCTGCGGATAATTCTTGCTTGTTTACCAGTGTTGGTTACGTACTCAATGGTACATAATTTAAATTTTGTTTATATATTTGTATTTTGTTCAAATTGCAATATACTTATAATATATTTTTAGGAAAGGTTGACCCTAGTTGTGCGAGCTTCATGAGGGAGATTATAGCAAATGCGGTAGCATCTGATCCTGTAGAATATTCTGAAGCTTTCCTGGGCCGACCAAACCATGAATATTGTACATGGATTTTGAAACCAGAATCATGGGGTGGAGCTATAGAATTATCAATATTATCCAAATTTTATGGATTAGAAATAGCAGTAATTGATAGTATTAATGCTATAATCAATAGATTCGGAGAAGATCAACATTATGCTCAAAGAGTTTTTCTAATATTTGATGGAATTCATTATGATCCTTTGTATTTGGAACCACTTGATGTAAGTATCACTCTCTATATTTAAAAATACAGTGTTGCTTTTTTTTTCAATTTGGGCTTTTTTGTCTATTTATACAGGCTGGCAGTATTCAAACAATCTTCCCTACAGAAGATGAGAAAATATTGTTCGAAGCAACTGAACTAGCAAAAGAAGTCAAATCTAGTCGTCAATTCACAGACATTCAAAAATTTATGTTAATGTGCAATGATTGTAAAGTTAAATTAAATGGTCAAATGGAGGCTCGGCAACATGCTATGGAGACAGGTCACATGAATTTCGGCGAAGTAGCTGTGTAACGAATTAGATCGATCTCTTGGCAATTATCGATCAGTTTTAAGCGGACTGCTGTTTGAGAATCCTACTAAATTCAAGTCTCAAGCAGAATTTTCTACTTAAGCGAGGCTTGTAAGCGGACTAGCTATTTAATATTAATACTTTGTTGTTAATATAAGATATATGCAGTGCACTATGAGGATTGTTTAGACATGTAATATACACAGATTTTTAATTTTGACTAAAGATTAAAATTTCCTTAACCAAACACCAAAATTTATGTAATCACGTTCTATTATAGTACAAACAACTATCATTTAATATACCCAAGCACATTTTATCTCCTGTGTGTTTATTTCTATGTTCATTTTCATAGCAATAAGACAATCTTTGATTAATATCAATTTCTATTCATTTTGATGTAAATTGAGATAATTGTAACTCTGTTACAGAAGAAAAACTTAATATTTATTTCATTTTGCACAAATAATAAAAAATAACACATTTTAATTTAAAATAAATTTTTAATACAACACCTCAAAAATACATTTTTTGGTGAGATTAAGAATCTGTGATACTTGATTAAATTTGCCTAAACGGAATTCGTAGCCTTACTGCCAGTAAATGTGTTCCACACCATATATATATTTAAAAAAATAATAAATAAATCATAAAATTAATTATAAAGCGAAATGGAGTTTTACTTAGTTTCGCTTTTGATGGCAAATCAATTTAGCATCGTTAATAGCGAATTTTATATGAATGAACTACCACTCTCAAGAGGAAAGATGAAAAAAATAAAATGAATCACTATTAATATTAAATGACATCACATTTTTATTAATAAAGGTGTTACTCGATGAAAAACTGTAAAATGTTATCTTAACAAATATGATCTCTACTACAATAGTCTAATTTACAATTTAAATATATATATATA